CCTCGTTAGGAAATAAATTGTATGGTAGTGGTGGTCGACCGAAACTTCGATGGTGAATCATCCAATCAGTAGCAGTATTTTTTGTGTTGTGCATTAATAATTTGTACCTTAGGCGATTTTTTAACTACTAAGAGAGTAGCTTACAAAAACGACTTTTCTAGAAACAGGGTTTATAACATAAAATTAACGATATACCTGATGGATTAACGTCATTTTCGATTTTCTGGTTCTTCGAAATCGACCTGAGAGAGTGAATTAGTTGAATCGTCGACTGAGCTAATTTTTCGTTTTCGATCGACCCCCGACTCCGGTGGTAACTCAAGTCATCTACTCGGAGGTACCAGTTCAGAGGATCTTCCTTCGCAGACGGTTTCAAGTTATCGTAATCGATTTCAATATTAAAACTGCCACTTGCTTTATGAGGATAGCTTGACAGCGTTTCAACTTCCATATCTTTCTCCATCTTTCGAGAAATATACGTTTCTTTGAGTACAGCGGGAACTTCACCCGAAATACCGTCAGAAACAGACTTTCAGGTAACATCTATTTTTTGACTTTGGCATCGAAACTTTGCGACATTTACTGTTAACAATTCCTAGTTAGCGATTCAACAGGTAGTTACCATTAATATTTTATATTCTTTCTTTATCGTGCTGAGAGATATGAAATAATGATTGCGATCACATACATTTTTCACCACGATATTGAGATCTATAATTGATTAGATCTCCGCCGTTGACAGTCTCTATCCCAGGTGAAAACGGAGCGGGGGATTGACGCCTTGCCGAGGTATCCATATCACTCTGCTCTTCATGGCACTGTCGTCATCGAACTCTATACAGGCTTGATCGTTGCCCGGATTACCGAAGGCCGCAAAGGCTGAAGAGGAATTGAGGCTGGTTGCGAAAGTCGGCGATCAGAATCTGCTCATGTCTTCCGTCAGCTGCGGATGCGGGAGCGTAGTGACCGTTGAGGAAGATCTACATAAAGAAAATGATGATACCATTCAGAAACGCAGCAGTAACCCATTCTTCGAAATTTCTTCGAAATGGACTGACTGACTGAGTAGCAGATTAGTGAAAAGGGTACGAAAAAGTTTGAATTCAAAAGCGGCGCTGAAGCATTCTTTCCTTCCGGTCAGCTTTTTAAAGAGACAAGCACATTTATCCTCTGAGGTCGCATGTTATCATTGTACCAGCAACATAATTCAGTTAAAGTTCTTAAAGAACACAATGTAAAAGCAAACTGAGCAGGGCTTATTATACGAAGCAAAAAATAGAATATGTAAAATACTAAAAATTCAGAAGCATTTTAAGACTGAATTTTGTAAAGGCTAATGTTGCAATTGAAATTTAATAGACTTTTGGAGATACTTTGTAGAAGTCATGGTGCTTAAAAGTTAAAAACAGACGTGTAAGCCTAACGTTTCAATAAATAAAATCGCATCGTCAGCAATGTACATCGAAGAATTGCGATTTCGCCAATGTTTGAGGAAGAATTTGGGGAACAGTTCGGCGAGATTGATAAACATAGACGACGTTTGAAATAAATGAAAAAGATTGATAAAACGGAGCACTTACAATACTGTTATGATGAACAGGTTATTAATAAAGTGCTCAATTTTTTAGGAATTTCGAAAGGCTTCTTTGAAGACGATATCGCTGCAATTATCTGCAAAAGTTTTACCTCACGATGGTGAAGCGGATGAAATGTTTTCTCATAGAACTTCAAAAATTTAGCCCGTCATAGAAAGATGCTGTCACTTCTTTACGTAACATCTAGGCAGTTGATCACAAGAAATTTATTATTAGACACAGCGATGATTATAGCGAATGAACCATACTGACGACCGGTTGTTGCTAAACGGCGGTGCCAATTTTTGTCACTGAGTGCTTGTGCAGTCAACCTGTGAGAACAATCGAATTATGGAAAGAGCACTTGGGGCTTAAAAAAGATGAGTGCCCAGAATCTCGCAAATGTTTCTGCAGAATTCAAGCTCGAAATATACATTTTTTAATAATCAAGGAATCGCATATACTCCCCTGTAGTGAAGCAGATCACATTTATGGTAGGCAAGTCCATCCACATATTTATTTTAGCTTTAAATCAAATATTGATAATCTTCTGTTGTACTGCATCTGTTGTGCTGCACGAAGTCGGAGAATATTGAAAGCAGCTTTTATATAGCAGCTGCGGATTAGGCAAAAAATTTGAAATATCCTTTTGCTTTGTAAATTCCGCCATTGATCCTAAACCATATTTACATAAATAACCTTCCTTTACACCACTGATGGAAAAATGTTTAGAAAAGCTATGAATCAAATCTGAACCCCGATACCGGGAAAGTTCCAACAAAACTTGCTCAGTCACTTCACATAGGTTTTGCTAGTTATTATGCAAATTTCAATTTTCAATATGTGCAAAGCAGAAGAATGAATGACCGACAATTTATTGATATGCTGATAAGAATGCCTCGCCTTCAGCCAGTTGATGATTAGTTATGCAAATATTAGAGGCGGAAAAAGTAAGGCATGCGCCATGTTACTAATTTGAGCATGAAGAACTGGATCCAGAGGGATCGATAATTTTCGATAGCGTTACATCGATGTCCCGACGACTTTTATATAATTGGCGTATCATGCACAGTAGGCATTAGCATAATAGGGTGTTACTGAATGAAAGTGAAAACCTGGCTCGCTTTCCTGCGTGTATAACGACGACCTGTTGGAATCGCGCTTAAAGTCCAGCTTCGCAATGCATGCAAGTTGGTAACTGTTGCCTGCACTGTACCATGCTGATATCCTGAGGTATTTAGTTTGTTTGATTAGTGATGTTAGCGGTGCACAGAAAAATATCACTGACTTAATGTGCTGCATCTTCAATGTAAGGAACATTGAATTAACAGTAATAATAAAATAATAAGTTATTACAAGTCTTTTACTGATAAAAGTGATAATAAGATCCTTTATATTCAAGGAACCCATTTCCGTGGACATGGTCGAGGTGACTGTTTAATCGTTCAGATTTGGAACACTAGGAGATAAGTCGAATTCTCATTTGAGTTCCTTGTTAACATCAGTCGTGTAGCTTGTCAGCTTCAAGAATTTGAAGGTGTTAGCAAAGTATACTGTGTGCAATCCTGTGTGTCGTATTTGCAGGTGTTTTCCTTGTGTCATTTCTCCCTGTTTAAACGGTTCATACCGTTAGTACGGTTCAAACGTTTAACCAAGAAATCTGATCCGTGACATTAAAAATCTTTGTTACTCTGTTGTTTATGACGATGATGAAACAACAACAGCAAAATGTTCGCTGCTGGCTAAAACATACAGGAAAGGAAACGTACATTATGCACCTTTCAGGGTTAAATGCTCACGTTGTATTCCTCGCATCTTTTTCTTTGACATATTACGCACTCATAAAGAGATCAGCATTCAGTCAATCCCGATGGCAGCTTATCCGTTCAGGTCGTCCAAGCAGTAGCGTCAGGAGGCGTCTCCAACGTTCTCGATCTTGTTGCAGAGTTCGTTGAGCTATTTGCCCCGGGGTCATTTTTGGCCTTCCCCAAACGAGCACGTAGCAGCCGTTTCGCTTGAATCTTTGGGAGCATTCGTAAAACGTGCTCAAACCATCGCCACTGTAATTTCTGAATCTGGAGAAGGCAAATTCAGATATGTGAACTTCAGACTCTGTCAGGACTCGCGAGATCAGCGATTCATCTCAGAAGGCTCATTTCGGCCGCTTGCACGCAAGACTCAGGAATATGGCCATGAGAACTGCGAGTTTGACAACTTGGCCAGGTTGACCACTTGGCTTCAGCACAGGTTGTGCACTCCGACTCAGCTGTGATTTGTCACGGCGATTCGTCGGCGAAAGTTGAGGAACGCTGCGGTTGTTTTTAATTGTAATTTCCATGGCACGCCGCTTCTGTAAATATATTAGGTACGCACGGCTATCCAGCGGTCAGCTGAGGAGAATGCACTGCGTAGTACTGCAGAGCTACCTTGAGGTTTCTGCCGAAAAACGTCATATTTCGTTTCGGCAGTGCGTCACATGGCGAAAACCAAATTTTGACGTGCTGCCTTTCGGCATGAAATTGTACGAACGATAGTTTCGCAACCCGGCTTTATAAATGCGGGTCTTGCTCTAAGTCAGAACTGCAGTAGAAGTTTCTTCCACTTCAATTAGCATGGTATTGCTGATCGATCGACTTCAGTAGTTTCCCGCTCTCTGCAATGCGTCACTGTTGGATCATGGAGAGCAAGGTCAGCAAAGCCTCAATTTAATCCCACTGTTAAGCGGCATGGCCCTAAATCTCGCACTTTTGAGCATAGCTCTGTCTTATCTGGTTTGACGACTTCTACCTCCCGCCAGCCTCATTGCTGAATGCACTGGAAGATAGTACGATGACTTCTCTGATCAAGAAAATTACGGGATTAATGGGAATAACCTCCGCTGTACTCAGATCCGAACTTCTACCTTCAGCTTACACAGAAATTCTTGGATTCAGAAACTACTTGCAAGAATAGGTGAAATCCAATATTCATCGTGGACTAAGCGACAGATGTGACAAAGGTTAATTCGTTAAATAACAGATGATTCCTCTAAACCAGATTGCACCGCCCATAGCTCTTAGCCGGTTAGCGGGGGTGGGGGCGTTTGAGCAAGCCGCTGCTCATATTTCTATTTGAACGCCTGCGGTGTAAAATGCATCTCGTATCATTTTTTCTGCTAAAGACGCCTCGCACTTATTACGACTGATATTTGGTGAGTTTGTGTTCCCTATACATCATCGCATAAACATGAAATTGTTTGTTCACTCTAGTGTGTTAAACATCAAATAACTCCTCCAAGATCAGATTTTACTGGGTGTTGTACCGTTCCCTTCAAGTCATTCATTCTCCATTCAGAGAAATGAGGACATAAACGAATAAGCTTGGAGAAAGGTAATTTGGCTTCAGCGTTGGCCTCTCCTTTCAAGTGTGGCTTATCTTTATTCCCATGATGTCAGCCAGAGGTGCCTTCATCTTGAAAAGTGGTATTTACAATTTACAGACATGTGCAAGGATTATGTTTGATCATTTGTTTTCTTTCCCGCATGTGGTACATGCGTGTCTACCTCAAAAGGATGAAAGACGATTGATCTTATGAGTGCATGTCCTCCTTCATGATCTCCATAGACTGAGCAGCTCATTGTATGAGCAAGTTTAAGGTACAAGTTTGGGTGAAGATTCCGTTCCACCGTAGCTAAGTTTCCATTTCTATGTCTGCGTGAAAGTTGCCATTTTCTCTCCGTGTCCTGAAGTGGCCATCAGTTGTTGTTCGCGTCCTCCTCTGTTCTTGTCAGAGAGTCGTGTTGTCCGTTCAGGGACCGATTTCGATGATTGGACTGCGTCCAGCGGTTTCAGCGGTGACGTATAATCAGACTTAAACGGCATGACTGCGTAAGGAAATACTCTATTCTCT